TACTGTAACACAACACCATTAAAATAAGAGAGTAGCACTTATTAGTTTTTGTATTAAGGGTGAGATGAATGAACCAGTTTTTGAGAACAGCATGTTCACCAATGACAAACACTATGAAATAAGCATTCATGTGTGGGTTTGCATTCTGGATCCATGTTTTTCAGTTAACATATATGCAAGCAGTACTGTAGCTCTTACGACATTTTGATGTCATCTCTGATGTGTGATCTACATGACTTACAGAAGAGATGCTTGGCAACAAACATAAAAACTACCAGTATTTGTTAATCTGACCATACATGTAGCTTTCAGAACCAGGGGGTTTTTTGGGTACTCAATGAAAATAAAGGCAGTGGAGAGGTGAAACAAGCAGTATTGCCTTAGTTTCTTCAGGCTGTCCACAGGCATGCATGACTGGTCTTCATTTTTCAATATGTATTCAGATAATTCTATCTCTCTTTGCAGTAAAAGTTTAGACTGAGTTGCTATGACAATTTGCATTCAGTAGTATACCAAACCCCATTATCTCATGCTAGCCTGTGACTGCCCACCTGTTAACTATGCATTAAAAAAATTGTTTGCTGTTTAATCACACATCTCTGAGAATAAATTGAGTGCACCAAGACAATTGATGTGAAAATCCCTGTGTGAATGCTTTCCACAAAAACTCTGAAGTTCTTCAGAAATCTCTGGGCAATGTTTTTTTTTTCCATGAGGTATTCTCAGGAAAAAAAAACTTACCCTATTTAACTCTGAAAAAATTTTATTTTAGGTGTACATCACAGTAACAAAGGTCATTGCTTAATTGCAGCTCCATTTTCTGGGACAGAAGCTGGAAAACTGATCAAATTACATGTTAATTACACAGAATGCTGTCAAATTTTGAAGTGAAGATACAGGACATTCAAGATGCTGCAAAAAGAATTGAGCCATATGTACACAAAACGCCAGTGATGACATCCTCAACTCTTGACAGAATGGCTGGCAGAGCAGTTCATTTTAAGTGTGAAATCTTCCAAAAAATAGGAGCTTTCAAGGTAAATGTCTTCCTATGTAAAAGACTTTGAAGTAGGACATTGAAATGTAATCTAACGAGTAGCATCTTTTCCACTTATTTTGAAAGTATCCTAATAATTATATTTTGAAGCTGCTTAGGAAGGAGAGATGAAGGAAATGACTCTAATCTATGGATTTACATAATTCCCCTTTATGAAGAGGTTAGGTCCTCCAATTTTGGCTATTGGTCAGTCCAGAGACTATCAGGATACAAGCTTAGAACTATGCAAGAGTTTGCACAGGGCTCAAATCTCAAGTTTGCTCAAATATGCTGTAAAAGAATATTTTTGAAAAAACCTCAGACCTTTGACCGCCAAAAAACTTGACCCCCTAAATATTATACCCAGGAAATCTTGAAAATTCAGACCCCCTTAAACTTATATCAGGGATATCTTGAAAACTCAGACCCCCCAAAAGAATCATACCCGAGATATAATGAAAACTCAGACACCCCTAAAAATTCATACCCCTTGTTACCTCAAAAAGCCCCAGACCCTAAAAATCATATATTTTTATGTCTTTAAGACTCAGCCCCACTCATTTTGAATAATTTGTGAGATTTCAATACTAAGTAATTTCAAGGATTTAAATCACAACATATAATAGAGCCATTATGTGCATCTCATAAGTACATGTAGGTTATCTTTGATCTCTTCAAGTGTTAAGAAATAAGGATTCAGTTTGTGAATTAAAACAAATTTGCAAATGTTTTCAAAGAATAAGGTACATTTGGGAGAAATGTGTGTTGCCTGATACTTTTCACAACACAGTGACCAAATTCTCCCATTTGAAGTCTTCATCATAAGATTAACCGTGTCAAGAATTTCACTATGACAATGTCATGCAATAAAACCAAACAATTTGATACTTACAACTAAAGGTTGGTGTAATATACAAATAGGAGAAAATAGCAAATGACTGTGGGACCTGGAGGAGATAGTTCTAATATCTTAAGAAATTGTCTAACAAAGAGTATCTTTTTCAGATTAGAGGGGCAATGAATGCTGTTATTCAGTTGTTGAATTCTCTGCCTGATGATCAAAGACCTGTGCTGGTGACTCACAGTAGTGGAAACCATGCCCAAGCAATTGCTCTTTCATCAAAAATCATGGGACTGCAGGCTTTTATTGCTATGCCAATAAATGCTCCCTCAGTTAAGAAGGCTGCAGTAAGAGAATATGGTGCAACTATTGTTGACTGTGGTACATCAGCTGAGGTACATCATTGGTAAAGAAAAGATATGTAACTAGGAATTAGAAAAAGATTACATTCAATTATGAATGACACCCTACTATCTCAGTTCCTCTCTTTACATCTCCACTTCCAGGGAGAAAGAAAGACTCTGGGAAAATAGAGTCAATGCAAATTTTCTGAAACAGAACATTTGCAATCCTAGGCTATTTGATTGTCATTCTCAGAAATAATCAAAATGCATAGTTGAAAATGTAAAAAATTTATTCGAAAGAAAATATCCACAGAATGACCTTAGTATGTTGTAATTAATGTGTAATTGTACCAATCATTTTCCAGGAGTTTTAAATCCTGAATAAAAAGTTTTAACCCACTTATCAGCTCACATTTGTGGTATGTCCTAACAATTTTCTCCCAACTGGTAAACCAAACTAATGAGGACCAAATGCAACAATTAACTTTGTATGCCTTTTTTCAGGACAGGGAAGCAACTTCTCAAAGAATCCTTCGAGAGACTAGTAATTCCTATCTTATACCTCCTTTTGATCATCCTCACATTATTGCTGGTCAGGGTACTCTTGGTCTGGAAATATTGGAACAGGTCTTTGTAGTATTGAGCAGATTTGTGAAATTGTAATTAAAGTAATTTGTAGTTTTAAGCAATTGGTAGTTATAATTATTTTCTAATTACTGCCCTTCATTTTTTTCTCACTAATTAACCCTATATTTACTTGATGTTATTAATGATTAAGCTAAGCCCAGCATGTACCTGCTTGTCAGTTTATTTGTTTGTGTGTTTGATTGGTGTTAATTGAAATTGACCAGGGATTATTTATTTTCTAGCTGTGATATTTAAGGTCAACTTTACCAGCCATTTTTTTTTTGGCATTATTTGTTTTGTTTTGCTCACTCATGGTGTTGTTCAAGATTATTCCTATTTGGTCCCTTTCTTTTATGCAGTTTTCTACAATGTATTCATTTGCTGGTAAACTTTCCAGAGCGGTGGGACTTAATTTGCAAGCCGTCTGTCAAGAGGGCTACAATGAAGTAGATTCATGTGAACCATTTTAAGAGGCTGGAGAATTTGATTGCAGGATCTGTTCACTCTGTTCTCTTGAAAATTAGTTTTTTTTGTTTTCTTTAAATCAAATTTAGCAATCATTCCTTGTCAGTGCTTCACTTGACTAGACAGAAACTGGTAGCAGCTAGTATAGACATAATATGTCTACATATTAGTGTTTGATACAATAGGGAATGTTTTGGGAATTGTGTGATTTAGATAATCTCCCTTTCACTGCCTCTCTCTAATATCAATCCCACAGCCACGGTACACTTCACACAAGACAGTCAGTATACAACACAACTTTTCTATGTAAATCTACAGTACAGCTCAAAGATAAGGAGACATCACACACTAGTGCCATACGCTTGTCTTACCTGTCTGAGTCTGTAAACAGACTAGTCTAAAAACACGTTTAGATGACATGTAAAACAGTTATGAAAATGTCAATGGAAACGGGTTTATTTGGAATCTGGTTATTCTATCCTTTAATGTTAAGAATGAAATGGTTCATGAACAGTGATCAGTTGCAGTAGATATAAAAGGAGGATCCTGATGCATTTTGAAATCAACCTTCATTTCAGCCTGGATTTCAAAGAACATTTCTGACACATTTTGGAAACAACCCTGATTTCTAGGCAACTCATAAATCTACCTTGATTTCAATGCAACTTGAAATTTTCACAGGTGAGCAGAGGAGGGTGCAACTATGAACAGTTCTCTCAAAAAATTATCTTGTCATGCCATTGGGGTAATGCACTAAAGCACTGGAATGATTGCTAAATTTTTTTTAAAGAAAACAAAAAACAATTTATTGTCAAGGGAACAGAGTGAACAGATCCTGCAATCAAGGTCTCCAACCTCTTAAAGTCAATGTCTGGTCTTAGACTTGTTCTATTTGTGTGAATGCACATAGTTTGGACCCCTTATCTTTAAGCTTCACTGTACTCAAGAGCGATCTCTTTAACTTATGGTTTATGTGGTCCATAGGTGCCAAACTTGGATGCAATAATTGTCCCAGTTGGTGGTGGTGGTATGCTGAGTGGGATTGCTATAGCTGTCAAAGCATTGAAGCCTGATATAAAAATTTTTGCAGCTGAACCTGCAAATGCTGATGACTGTGCTAAGTCATTTGCTGCAAATGAAAGGATTCCACTTCAAGGTATGGTGTTTTGAGTTGTAGTCAAAACAAATCCCAGACTGAATCAATGCCTGTGATATTTATGATTTGGATTTGTTGGCTGATGCTGTGATAAGTGGAATCCTACATCCCCCAAGAGTGACAAGTTGTGTTGTCTAGAGGTATTAGCTTCCCAATGTTCTGTCAGATATTAAACTTTTCATGCTTTTGAATGAAAGATCCTCTAAAAAAATTGAGCTTGCATCTGCCCCATTTAGTAATATTTTGGCATGTAAGGGACTGCTTGCTTTTAGTATACAGATGTAAACATTTTCGAATACAGGAATTTCGCCTATTGATATTCACATCTTATTGGTCAATTTCACACCCCAATCCATGCTTGTAAAGTGTAGATCCAAATGTAATAAGAGGGTAGTCTCCCAATAATCTCTTTCATAGCTTTTGTTGAACGCAGCTATGAGAGAAATCCTATAATGTGATTGAACAATGGCTACCAAAAGCCAGAGCACAGAGATCAAATCAGCATAATTACTTGGAAAGTTGCAGGAAGGTGGCAAAAGCTGGAAGAAAATAGCAATATCATGCATGGGCCAAAGGAGCATTTTAAAGCATTAGAATAGCTAAGGATTTCAAGAGTCATTGACGTGTACATGTAATTAATTCAGTGATAAAATATATATGGACAAACTTGACTGTGGGAAAATTAAGTTGAGGGTATGGGTATTTGTTTTTAAGCCTCTTTGTCAATATTATTTACATTCCTTTTTATGGCATGTTGTCATTGCCAACACAGGCAATCTAAGTGTAATGGACCTGTAACCTACCAGGTGACACACTGTTAGGTTGTGCAACAGACTGTTGACAGTTTTTTTAGATGCCATCTGCATTTATTATTTTGCAGAGTTGGATAGTTACCATACTTGTATGTGATTTTCTGGAAGCTTTGCTTTTGAGATAAGAGCAACCTTGCATTGCTGCAATACAAGTAATTACAAGTTCACAACCCTGTTTTATCTCTAGTTTAAGCACTTAATGCACAAGTTGGCCATAGGTATTCTTTGATTTAACAGCTGCATGAGGAGAAAAATACTAACAGTCATCTAAGAGTGCTAATCTGTGGGAAATGAAAACATGTTAAATGTTAAGTCTCTACAACAAAAAAGAATACCTCTTATGCCTTGCTGATGGCATCTAGCAATTCTTGGTGTTTTGAGGATTCTTTGCCATCATTGTTATTATCTTGTCCAGAAATCAAATATAAAGATTAATTGGGTTTAGGCTTTTTGGTGAAATAGCTCTCTCCAGAGAAATAGCTCTCTCCAGACGAGTAATGTATTTTTGGTCAGCCAAGTAATGACAATACATTACAGATTTACCAATGAAAACAATGAGCTTAAGCCCTCTGTGTCTTTACAGGCCCTCCTAGTACTATAGCAGATGGATTGAGGACAAGTGTAGGCCATGTAACATGGCCAATCATTAAAGACAAAGTAACTGACATCATAACGGTCACAGAAGAAGAAATCATAACTGCAATGAGGGTACTGTGGGAAAGAATGAAGCTTCTTATTGAGCCATCAGCAGCTGTAGGTGTGGCAGCCATTTTGTCAGAGAGATTCAGAGCACTTCCTAACCTGAGGAATGTTGCTGTAGTGTTGTGTGGTGGCAATGTAGACCTCGATAACCTCCCTTGGAAGAAGTAACAACTGCAATTCAGTTTTGGGAAGAGATGCAAACAAATAAATTAGGGACTACCAAATAGCATGCACTGGAGGTGTCTTTTCAGGACAAGTTAACATTTAGAAGCTGGTTTATACAACTACCCATGTTTGATATGGCATTAGAGTCCACCTTAAGGGAAGGAAGCAGAGAAAGGCAAAATATTAGTTATCCTATCCCCTCCCCTCTCTCTCTCTTTTTGACCGTTGCTCACCCCCTCCCTCCATAAAGCAAATTTCTTTCTCTCCCCGGCCTTCCTCTGCTGTAAAAATCAAAGATGGCAGCTATAATTTTTCACTTAGATACTACTGAGTACTTGCCTGCCAAAATTATGCCTAATCTTCAGGCCAACTACAAAGTTCAATTTTCCTCTCATGTGGAATTGGTAACATTGGTCTAGCAAGATATCATGTATTGATGTAAAGCTGTAATATACCAGACAGTGAAAGGCCCCCCATAGGATGATGCATACAAATGAGATTGACTCACATAGCTGATAAGATTTTTCAAAGTATGTCTAATGTATAATAAAAAAGTTACATGGCAAATAAATTGATACAAATATTTGTGTTGTGCTAGTTTAAATTTTCCTCCAAGCATTTCACTGTAACAAGATGTAATTGCATTGTTGATATTGAATACACAGTGCATTAGATGGGTCAAAGTTTTCCATTTTCCATTGAGAATATTTATTATACAGAAACTCAAGGGACTTAGCCTGATCCAGTTAGTATAATGCAGCAGAATAGTAACCTACATGATCATAGAGGAGGAGCAAAAAGCAAGTTTTTGGGTTGGGTTGGATTAGCCAAAACCTCCCTTGCTTTTCACTCCACCACTATTATTGTGTTGTTTACTATTTTGCTCTGTTTTACTAACTGAACACCTAGGACTTAAAAGAGAAACAGTACATATTTTTGATGAAGATTTATCAGTACTTCTGATGAGGACTCGAATATTCACTGGGATTCTTTGTTAGAAGACCAACAAACTCTGAAAGCAGGGTAACTGGCTTTGTGAAAATCCTCTTGCACTGCTTTCCAGCAAAACAAGTGTAACAATTTCAAAACCATAAATTTTTAGCTATCATTTTATTGCATTTAGATGTTCAATATACAACCAAAGACTTAATTCCAAGAGAAAGATTGCTAGATTTTCAGTTTTTTTTAACCATTTCAAAAATTGTACCAGTCAAACCTTGCAAAGATCAGTTTTACTTCTGAGTTATAAAAAACTATTCATCACTGTCATCATAGGCAGTGGCATTCTTAGCAGAATTGCGTGCTTTTTTCCTCGCCAGATATCGCTCTTTAGCAGATGAAACAGTTTCACCTGTGCTGCGCTTGGCAAATTTGCTAAGAGACTCCTCTCTCAATGTTTCTTTGATTTCTTTGGCAACTTTCTCACTTTTCTTTTTATTCTTGTCTAGTGCCCTCATGTCATCCTGAGAATACTCTCTATAATAGATGTGTTTGTCAGCTTTATTCTTCTTATCATCATGGCCTGATTGATGTGGTTTGAAGCCACTGGAATGTCTGTGAATCCCCAATTTCTCATGCTCCCTATCACTGCACCTTCTTTGTTTCTGGTTTAACAAATCAGCTGAATGTTGAACTTTGTCATTCTCATTGTCGTTTCGTTTGTGATTTTTGTGATCATGGATTCTCACATGTTGGGAAGGAACTCTTGTATGTCTTGGGTTTTCTTCTAATCCTTGATCTCTTAAATATTTACTCTCATTTCTATCTCGGTGTTTTTCTTTCTTTCTACTGTCTGACATTTCTTGAGGTGCTCTTTCATCCTTTCCTTGAGATTCTCTGATGTCATTTTCCATGTTTGGCAAGTCAATCTTTGTTGTATCTTTGGCAGTAAATGATCCTCCCAGTGACATGTTTTGATTCAGAAGATTGCGATAAAACAAACTTAGGTCCTTCTGCTTTGTGACATCATTGGCAGCTGAAAGGAAAAAATAACTCAATTAAGCAGCCAATAAATCATTCACCCAGTCATATGTGGTCTCCTTTCAATGGAATATTGTCACAAAGAACAACTGTAAAAGAGATTGGCAGCCAGCTTGTACAAGTATTGTAACTCAGTTCATCAATCATTCAATTATGAATATCTTTGATTAATTAGTCATTAGTTTTCCAGATAGTCAACCAGGTAGCAAGTCAGTAAGTCACTCTCTCTTTCAAAACTCACTCTAATTGAAAGGCTCAGAGCAAGAACGATCCCTTGATTTTTCAAAAATGGCCGAAAAATCAAGGGATCATTCTTGCTCTGAGCCTTTCAATTCATTCCACCAATAAGCCAAATACCTCAACAGTAATCCAGTCAGATGGCCAGTTAGTTGACAACCAGCAATCCCTCTTTGCTAGTTTAGTTCATGATGCAAAATGTTCCATGAGAGAATAAATGATGGCCACACAAACACTAGAAGAACCCCCAAACTATTCCCTTAAAGCAAGGCATAGGGCTCCATGATTTCTTGTGTTCTGATTTTAGCCTTGTTGAGAAGATGAGAGACGGGTCACCTTCATGTGCCAACATTTGATCTCAGCCAACTTAACAAGCACTTTAAAATTTGGAGTTCAATGTTTTTCTGCTTTCAGTCAACTTTGACTATCATTGTTGGGGAGGTACTGCTTTTAGTCTTGGTAAGTGGTCTAATTGGTTTTTCAGTTGATTAGTCAGTCTGCTGGCCAGCAAGCCAGTCAGTTTGTGAGTCAGCCAAACAAACCTTTTTTAAGGGTATGATTACCAAAATAGTCTTTATCATATAAACTAAAGTGTTATACAAGGATTTCCAGCCCTTAGACAAGCTGTTACAACACACATGAAAAAATATTGTATTTTTTCATGTGTGTTTGATATCACTAATCAGCTGCTGACATGTCACTTGCCTTTTGCGCCACTCAGTCAGGTTCATGAATTAACAGTGACGCCCTCACCATTCTAAACCCAAGGTCATTTGCCTAATTTTTTTGGATTATGGCTGCTAAAACACTGAGAAATCCATATTGCTTACAGATGGAAGAGAAGAAGAAAACCAAAATATGTAAAGAAAAACCAAAGCCACAGAGGCTTTGGTAATGGCATTTCTTGCATATAAAAACAAACATCGACAACTAGAAGATTTGCTGCAGGCCGATTTTGGCCATGTACCTGAAAGATTTCTCCTGTCAGTAAGGACCAAGTCAATAACTAAGAATTTTGTATATTGAAAATTTTGCTGATTGTTTCTTTTTGTAGTGTGTTTCAATTCATTTTTTCATCTTGAGCCTTTGTGCCAATGCACTTTACAATTTTTATTTGGGAATTGTCTATTCCTTTGTTTTCATTCATCAGTTAAGTGGACTTTTCTTGTCGGTAAAGGGCTATTGTGTTTTTATGATAAACAAAACAATACATGGTTGTTTGTAGATATGAAATTTCTCTTTCTTGTTCAACTCTACATTTCACTTGTTTGCTGCACTCACTCATGAGCTATTGAGTTAAACACTTGAAGAGAAATTCTATATCTACAATAAACCATGTATCATTCTCTATTCATATCAATCAGCACTTCTCTCCATGCACAGAAGAGAATGACTCAGCAGTCTGTGATGGTTTGCTACACCTCCATTGCAAGATGATTCAATTTTGGGTTTAGAGGTATATACTTTAACCACTGCAAGAAAATTATGCAAAAAGAAGTATTCAAATCACCATCAATAGCATCTCGCCATTTGATTCTCTCTTCCTCCTCAAGTTGTTCTTGCATTTTCTTACGGAATCTGTTCATATTTATGTTAAGGTGGTGCAACAAGTATGTGGATACTGAAAGTTTTTTTCTCTTCCTGGATGGAATACTAGTCATCTTATTCCAAATCCCTTACCTAAGGTATTACTTTCTTGAGTAACCAACATTTCCTAGTGCCATTTAAAGCCTGAGCTGAGCTGAGCTGAGATATTACCCCAAAAAGAGCTCTTGGACAACAACAACTAATTTTAAATCAATTACAACAAAGAAGTTCTTAGGTTGAGTGAAGATTTCAAAAGATACGCCTCAGTAACAAAAGCTTCTTTATCATCAAACTCTCCTTTCTCTTGTTCTCTTTCCTTTTGTACTTGTCGCTCGACTGTCCTTTCAAATTCCCTCTTCCGAGCAGCTGCAGCCTTCAACAAGCTCTCAATGTACTTGGGCTAAGTATTTAAACAGAATATTTAGGGTTTGGTAAAATGAATTCATTAAGAGTGTCCATCCCCTCTCCTGTATGGGATGATGTTCATAGCTAGAAACCTCCCCCACCACCCCCCCAACATTTTTCAGCAGAGGAGAGGTGATGCAATCCGTAAAATTAATACAAATTACCATGCCTAGCACTCAAAAAAGGATCTATTCATTGGGAATTTGGTGTACTTTTTATCATAATTGTTAGATGTAGATGAGTTCTAGTACCTCAGTCTATGGTTTATACCCCAACACCATGTATGTTTACATAGTTACAACTGGTTAACAGGATCAAATTACAAATATTTTAGGATCTTTTCAGCTATTGTACATATGCACATTTTGTACCTTTTTATCTTTCTTTGGAACTTTAAAACTTGCAGCTTTCTTTTTTTCTTCCATTTCTTCATAGACAGCATCATACTCATACACAGTAGGATCTTCTTTCAAAGCTTTCTGTATTTCAATCTGAGTCTAAACAGTTACATGACACTGTTAATCTAAAACTAGAACTGTCAGGTTTACATTAGGGGGAAACATTTCCCTGTTAACCAAATTCACTCCTTGATATTTGCCTCAGAAATAGAAAGAAACTCTTGTTCATGTTGTCAGTGACTAATAAGGGTAGGGACATCATGTCAATGAGGATACTCAGAAATAAAAGATAAAAATATCTAAACTTTTACTGCATGGTCTCCACTGACAACAAGATGGTGAAGGAACAATCCATCAGTAACACATTTACACCTAGAGCTATTTTGGCCATAGAGAAAGGACAATCATAAATTATGCAATGATTATTCTTTAATTAGTCACCTGTTTCATTTGCTTCTTCTTTTGTGATTCTTCAATTAGGGATAAATTCACTTCTTTGTGAGCTCTTTCCTGAAACAAATTTTATAGCTTACTCTGAGTAAAATGTGAGGATGAGCATTCCTTCTCATCTACATAGTATGATGCTGTGTTGAAAACATAAATTAACTAGTAGAGAGAGAATTCTTTAAGAATTCTATTTCTGCCAGTTTCTTCCTAGTTTCAGTGTATATGAAGATCATAAACAAGATCTGTAAGGTTATTAGGATAAAATTACCTCATCATCACTCGAATCATCACCAAACACAGCTGGTTTCTTCATCATAGGTTTGCATGTAGTTTTCTTGGATGGAATGATAAGCCCATACCTATGCATGTATAGGGTGTGTGAAATATGAGTTGTAATTTCTGCATCAAGAAACCATTACCAATTATACCCTAATATGGAAGTCAACATATCCAACACAACTTATCAACACAGGGATGAAATTAAAATATATCATTTGTTGCTACAATTATCATTATTGTTGTATTTTCA